TCGGTATTATTTCTGATTCCGACCCTGTGCTGTCCCAGTAACATTTGGTAACATCAAGTTTTCGAGCTTACAGGCGTCCCATGGAAAAGCGTTCAGATATTTATTTTCTCGCATTGAGAAAATACATATGTCTCAGAGATCGTTTGATAGCGATATGGCACTCCACTTTTGGAAGTAAGTATTAATATACCCATACTTATATACGGTAAAGAATTCTATACATATGCGTCAAGTTAAGATGTCGACTAACTAAAACTTATAAGGTACACGAAACTTCTTAATAAGTAAATTTAAGTTACTTAGATAAGAGATATATTTATTTAATATATTTTACATTTAATAACTATTTACAATTATTAAATATGCCCGCGACTTTCTCCACGTGGAATAATTATTTTAGGCACCATATCATTTATTTTTGCTAGCTACCCCTTCAGCCTGATAAATTAAAGCCCACGACATCCTGTCTCGTTATTTTGAATCCTATTACTAGTTAAACTAAAAGATAGACATATACAATCGAAGACATTTTTTTTAAATAATTTAAAGTAGAATCATTCTTTCATACATATTTTTGGTTTCTTAAATCGTTTTCACTGCGCATGCAATGGAAGCCCCGAAGCCCGGAAGAAAAATGAATCATTTTCTCTATTTTTCTCTCCTATTGGTCGCAGCCTGGTGTTTTATAGCCCAGAGCCTTGCTCGATAATTCATCCAACCAACACAAAAAAAAGATTTCAAATTTGAATTAGTAGTTCTCGAGATAAGGGCGTTCAAACAAAGAAACAAACTTGTCGGCTTTATAATATTAGTGTAGATATGAAAGGACACTAAAACTTAATAGTCTGCGTTAATTATTAAAATTGAAAATTGTATGAATTCCTTGTCTACATTTATGTAAAGTGCGATGAAAATTTAACGATAACAAGAAGGGCGATACAATATAACAAAAGCCGAGTCTCGTAACTCGGGAAATTTATGCGTTCCGAGAGAAATTTACCGGCCACGCTTATAGAAAAACCCGCAACGAGTTTCCATCTTTAAAACTTGTGTTTTTAAACAATTGTCGTCTAAAAACCCATTAAAGTCCCGAACTCAATTTTTTCGTAGATATTCAGTGAGCAGAAAAAATGCGTTAAGGCGTCAAACTAGTGCTATAAAATTCTACGTTTGGCATTCAAAGACAAAAGCGAATCGCGTATTATCCACTTCACGGCTTTTCCATCTGTCGGCTCGTGACCCGAACGGAATCCCGACATTCCTATCGGCCGTTTAATGCCCAAATTATCCAGCCGACGGGTCCCACATGAAAGATCGCAAATTGATTTAGCGCGCCGAGTTTCAAATCACACCCGTTCGGGTCAAATTATAATTTGTTAGCCGTAGAAATAACTCATATCGCAAATCTATATATAATATTAAAGGTATCTTGAACCGTTAGAATATTCGGATCTATCTATGTTTATATACAACGCTGAAAAGTTTGTTTTTTTGTTCAAACACGTTTACCTCGGGAACTATTGGTTTGAATTGAAAAATATGTTTGTGTTGGTTAGAATATTTATCGAGGAAGACTTTAGGCGGTAAAACATCACGCTGCGACTGATAGGAGCGGAAAACAGCGGGAAATGGAAACAATTATTTATCTTTCAGGGGTTCGTTGCGTTGCGTGCGCTGCGAAAACGGTTCAAGATACCCAAAAATGTAGAAAAGAATTATTCTTGTAGTGTGTAGAGAGTATATGTCTCCCTTTTAAGATTAACCTGTAAGAGCCATTTTTATGGCAATAAATTTTTGCCAAAATATTCCATATGACAAGAGAACGTGGTCAGCCAGTATATACCTATATTTATATTACGGAAATATCTACTGAAGAACGGATTACAGAAAAAAGACGTAGACGACGATTTTGAAGAAATGACAAATGTCAATAGACAAAGTGTGCTTCCGTTTTCTGTTTGCTATATTTCATTAAATCATGCCTTTAATTAGAAAAAATAATTGTTCATAACAAAAGTTTGAAAAACTATGTATAACCCTTTGTAGAAGGTAAGCGAATTTTTGCTTACCTTAAGTGTTTAACTATAATACAAATTATTCGCACTTTTAGGTACCTAATAATAATAATCTTGTCGTATGTGCATAATTAGTGTTTTAAACTAAGTGAATTTCCAAATTCTCGGGCACAAATTATGTGTTAATGTAACTATAAATAGTTTGGCCCCAGCGAATTTAAACTTATTACCTTCAATACCTACCTAAGTAGCTTTCTAACGAGCTTATCGTTCTAAATGTGGGTGTGATTATGAAAAGAACTCACGTTTCCCTCGCACTTGACCTCTTTCGCCATCAAACATGCCACACACAGACAAACATACGTCCGAACAGTATTGTTTACATCGGAATTGTTTATGTTGAGCACGGGACACGACCGAATCGCGAAGGGATTTCGTAGCAACTAAGTGCGCGCGTCGCCGTAGCGTTGCCATGACAACGGAAGGTGCTTCCTACTTTTTACGAGGATTCAATGTCAATCATTAAATTTGAAAATTAAAAAGAACCAAACCACTTAATGGCCGTTAATATGTAGACCTTTAAATAAACTCTAAGAATATAGCTTACAATATTATCGAGCAAGTTTGTTTTAGTTGATATCTCTCGATTGTAGGTAGATTCACGTTCTTCAGTTTAAAATTATGTAAATGATTTAAATAAAACACTTTTAACGGATTAAAACGCGAAATGTATTATTTATTTGTACTAAAGTAAACTTATTCACCGATTATTTTAACTAATTTGCAAGTATAGTGTTTTATTTAAATGTGTACTACTCGTGTAAGTTACTGATAGTTCATAAAAATTATTTAAAACATTGATAGAGCTGGTCGTATGTATGAACTTCAGAGGACTGTATAATCCTGTCGGAGGGTAGTTATATTTTATTTTTTAGATTTAAAAATTCCTGTATTAATAACGGGGTTTTTAAAATGTTTGATTGAAAATGAGAAAGATGTCTACTAACCAGACTGCGACAAAGATATTGATATTAGATAGACCTTAATGTCATACCTCGGATGTATTTTAGCCTGGGTCGAATGATGACCTAGTTCTAATAGAAATACTATGTCAAAGTACAAATATATCATTTGCCAATATTAACGTATACTAACGTTTGCCAGCGACTTTACTCGAGACATTTAAACATTTATCTATAAATTTAAACACCACAACACCAATTTACTATTGAATAATTTTAACTCCAAGTAATCGAGAAGCTACAGACAGACTTTTATTTTTGTTTCGATTGCGTTTGTCTATATAGAAATATTATTATGAATATTCAAAAGGTTGTATTCTAAATGTATAAAAGTATTATCTTACATTCCAAACCTGGACATCGATCAAACAGTGTTGATAATTTAATAAGAGGATTTTCCCCAGCTATGGAAAAGGGTTGAAGGGCTAAGGTATTGGCGATCGATCGGTTTGATTGAATGAACTCACAAAATCCGCATTCCCAATGACTGTCGCATGGGTTTCCTCTCTTAGTCACGCTTTTTGAATGGTTCTCTCAAGGATTTCGCTATCAAATTAATAATATTTAGTCTGTATTACACACTACACGGATCTAGCAGAACACTGTTTGAGACTTTTTTATGACTGGGACACAAGAATGAATTTTACTTGATATTAGGGTAAAATATATGTATAATGTCAAAACATTAACATAATTATAATATAATTAAAAGGACGTGGTGTCGACCCATTTTGGCATTTGACATTCAATTATCAATGGACTGAAACAGAAATATACCCTACTTCCCTTCCCTACTTTTTGATCCGTGATATGGATGAAAATTATTATTATTCAATTAATATTAATAATAATATGTTAAATATACTTCATGGTTTTAACACTAATAATCTCTTAGTAATATTAAACAAATACCTTTTATACCATAGTATAGATTTTAAGCCAAATTACTAATCCTGCGAAATATATATTAGCAATTATTCGCACTTTGTTGCTCTTAAAACTTTGCAGTAGTTTGGTGTTAGACAAATGTGTTATGGGCAGTCGTTTTAATCCCAAAACCAACATCCATTGCTGTTTATTGAAAGTAAAGAAGGGTGTTAATATATAATATATATTGTGTTGCAATTGCAAACACCTACTACAAAATAATTTTCATAATTTTTATGAAAAATTTGTAAGAGCAACATAAAAAATATACATATATTATAGAAGAGGGGAGAATTAAATAATACCAAGCCCCTATGGACTTGGTCCTATAATTAAACTTACATACTCTGCTAAAGTAAAAATAAATATAATTAGTACAACATTTATTTACCTTTAATCGCGGGACTAGAGGATGTTTTTTAGAAACCGCGTGCAACTGTCCCGAACAATAAGTACTTTTTTACATCCATATTGGTTTTTTACATCCATGTTGATTATGATGTGTGTTTTCGGACATTAGAAAATTGATAATACATATATTATATAACGTACACACATTGTTATGTGACCAGCTTTAAAAGTATTTAAATTAAACTAGACTAACTGAAATAGAAATCATTTGTATTTAACTTAATCAAAAAACGTGTAGTATTTAATTTTGTCTTTTGTGAAGTATTAAATGTTTTATTTTTTATTATTTAATTTATTGTGTGTATATTTAAGCCCCCGTTATATATAAGAAATAACTGCACATTTTTTTTGTATATATGATAAAATGTCTATTACACCGATCGGCCTCAGCACCCAGGCCGATGCGAATCGAACCCTGAACTCCTCGCGCGTCACAGACGAGCTAGACCCGCGTAGACATGACTCATGTCAATTATAAAAAGCGGAGTGAATTGGAAACGCGGACATTTCGAGCCATATTGTCGAGTGAAACTTTATTTATGGTTTTGATAAAAAGCCCGCATTTTTTGTGAAAACCTATTTTCGTGAATTGATTTCGGCAGTCTCAGTCACGGGTCCGGCGAAAATGGATTCCGCTTGTTTATTTTTATTCGTGAGTGTTTTACTTTAATTTCATTGAGTTATCCTTTCTCTCAGTTTTGAGTGTAACACGAAATTCGCGTTACATTTATACAAATGATAGCCTTTATTTATGTATTCTGCCTGTTATATTTAATAGAGTTTTACGGGTATCGTGAGTGTAAAGTAATGTAGCAATGTACGGCTAATAATCGACGTGGGTCCAAAATTTCCTCTGGAAATCTGGATATTAAATTGGTGATAGAAATATGTGAAATTCCGTCCGGGTCACGAATCACCGTCCACAGAAGAAAAAGCCGCGAAGTTTAATCACGTTTTAGTCTTACTCTGTGGTTTTCTGAAGCCAAAGCCAAAATGGGGCGACAGCACATCTTGTTCAGTTAAAATATCAAACGTTATAGCCGTTGTCCTTCTTCCATTACATAGGTATTGTGATTTCGCTCGTGATCTATGGTTAGAAATATTCGCCAATTCTAAACCGGTAGGCGGTGATTGAAACTGATTCGGAGCGACTGCTTCTCAGCCGCCTCTCAGCCGCCTCGCTTAGGTTTCAAGCTCATTACACTCGGCTGATATTGGAGCAATATTACACGGATGGCTTAACACGCTATACAAGCCAACTGCCTCCGGGTACGCTCGAATATTTGCTTTCTCGGAAGTTCGTGCAATCCGTTTGTGTTTATAGAGTAGGTAAATAGTTAACGCTCGGAAAATTGACTTTGATTTAGGATATTTCCCCGTTTGCCAGAAAATTAAACATTAAAATGAAGAAATAACTGAAAGATTTATCAATCTGTCTTTTTTTATGAAAAAATTGAAGTATATTTTAATACTCCTAGGTTAGATAAAATCAAAGTTTTTTTTAAAAGGTTGATTCTCTCGGGTCCCGCCCGTATCATACACCATACTATTAAATATTTTTTGAAATTTAAATATTACCATGGTTGGCCTTCATTAAACCAGATAATTGGATATACCATCGACTATAAATATTTTTAGCACTGACAAATTTTTCGTTGCAGTTTATATCGTGCGCAGTAGCGTCATCTCACCATTTAGACGAAGACTTCAGCCATGAATACCAAGACATCCTCGATGACTCCAATGAAGAAACAACAATAAAAGAAAACGAAGTTTCAAAAACTCCCCTACTCAAATACGAAGTTACAGAAATCATTGAAGATCTACCAAATACAGAGACTCTGGGCCCTATAGTAACTAATTACACAATAGCTAAGCCTATAAATCTAGCGACCGCACCATCCACTCAAGCGAACACCACAGCCGTCGAGAGTGAAACAAAGAAGAATTATTTAAGCATATTCCACGTTAAAGTAGAGTATGATAAAGAGAAGGAAAATAAGGCCCCACAATTTTTCGGTATTAAAGAATACATTGACGGTCTCAAGAAGGGCGTAGTTAGTGGTTTTAACAGTATTATCGATAAGTTCAGATTTAAAAGTATGACTGCCATGCCTAATGTGGTAAATGGCAATGCCCTGTTCATAAATAGGTTGAAAAAAGTATCTGACTTCAAGAGTAGGGAACATAAGAGGTTTTTTGGACACGATGACTATTGAGTTTATAGTGTCTATGTAAAAATCTAGGCCAACTATAGCTTTTTATTTAATTTAAAAATAGTTTAAAACACTATAAATAAAAAATGCATTTATTAATTTGAGGGTAGGTGAAAAGTTTCACCTATTTGCTTTTACCGACAACAACTCCTAGATATATTACTGAAACGTTACTTCATTCCTTTATATTTAAGTAGGAATAAAGATAAGAAATATGCACTTATCTCAAAAATAACCTAGTTCGGAGTAGGTAATAATTAGCCCAGCTATTTATTATAAGTCATAGATTAAAATTAAGGCTAATCTAAACTAAATTGTATTTCAATTAACACACTTATATAGGAAAGAAAATGTTTCAATAGGAGTGTTTAATACGTATAAACTTGAAATCGTCAAAAACGTGTTTTATTTTAATACTATATTTTATTCATAATACGGAGAACTTTCCACTGAAGGTAACCAAAATAGATGTCTAATTCCACGGACTGAAATAGAAACGCTTTTCCATCTTTAATATCCAGATTTCGAAGACGAAGCATATTGAACCTGGGAATCCAACTCACAACCCGTAAAACCAGTAGCTACCATTGTACTAACGAGCTCAACAAAAAAGATTTAGCATTCCACGCTTTCGTACCACAGTTCTCTCGCTAGTATTTTAAAAGAGGCCTTTACTATGTCCTAGAACCGAGCTACGACCAGTCCCGGAATCTAACCCTCGCAGCACCTAAAAAAAGATAACTATTTACCGAGAAAGACTTAGTTGAGTGAACATTTTATAGTTTAATTATGGACCCTTAGCAAAGTTATTTAAATTTCATTATTTAGCAATTAGCGTAGTTCGTAATAATGTTTAAGTGTTATAATTTAATTTCTCTGCTACTTTTCGACGGTCTCCATAGCTCTGTAGTAAAACGAAGCATTGCGCACGAGGTCCAAGATTCGAATTCGAAAAATAATGAAAAATTTATCCGATCACCCTGGTGGAATCTATTCCTTTTTATCGTTAAACTATTTAAATAAGGGACTTCATTAAAACTTTATTTTTTTTTTTTTTTTGTTTGTTATTATTATTATTCGTTATTTTAAATATACATATAAATCAAGGGTTAGTCGACCCACAACAATCTTTGTCTGTTAAATTTCTTATTCAAGCAATCGAAACCTAACCTTATAAAGTTATTAAGTAAAGGCCCAAAGTGCTTGTAATTCGCCGATTGAAAATCCCCAATCGATAATTAACCAACAAAATATTTACATTTTTTGATAAAGTCAGGTATTAGGTGTGGTTGTGTGTGTCGCGAATTTTACGTGTATGCTAATACCGCATTAGTGGTCAGTGAACGCACTCCACAACACTATTTGTCACGATATTCATATAGAGCTGATGCTACTGTAGAAAAATAAGTTAAATTTGCAATTCGGTTCTTTCTCTCAAGGAGACCGACAGTTTACCTGTTTCTTCAACATACAGATTGAAAAAGATGTATTCATATGTAATAATTGTAAAAATTGCTATCGGTCTTTATAAAATCTGGTCAAGTCACAATAAAAACTTATCCTTTTATATTTACAATCTATAATAGTTGTAGCAGCTCTAAAAAACCTAACGCTACAGCCATAAGGTCAGTATCCTCGAGGGATGCTGTGTTCAGTACCGCGGCGCACGCGCAGCGACGCACGCGTCTTCCCCACGATAGATAGAAAGAAAGGTAAGTTTTTATATTTTTCCTTAACTTTTGACATATCGTGTCATCCTGGCATAAACATTGTATAAGTTCCTTTGTTTTTTGAAGTTCATTCATCTTTAAGTGAATTTTATGAAGAGAACATATTTTAAGTGCTTTGAAAATACGTATACGTAATTATACTGTCTTAATCTTAGAAATACTGATAGAACTATTCACTATAGAGTAAAGGTACCTTTAGGTTAGAGCGAAATATTAAACATTGATGTTATTGGATATTTTGTGAGTATATTGTTCATACTATTACAAAGCGTTTTTGTTTAATCTTTATAATTCATATAAAGTTGCAGTGTATCTATTTCCTAATTTATTATTTTTTTGTATAGAAACATAATAGTAATAATAATAGGCAGTACTTTTGCATACACAATGCATTATTACATGCTTTTACCCAAAAATCGACACATCGAACACGTGTTCTAGAGTAAAAAATGACTTTACAAGAATCCTTGTTTAGACAAAAGGTAGAATGGAAATTCCCACTCTTGACGCTTTTTGAATTCCATGGTTGTTTAGTTGCTTAAAACAGCAGCACAAACCGCTGTGGACGCCGGTTCGCGCCCGTGTCATCAATATTTTGTTTTACGATCTTATTCGATTTTAGTCAATTTGTCATCTGTCAAGATGCCTTTGGCCAGGATTAATTCATGTATCCTTATACGAGACGTGAGTACCAGTGGTGTATGTAGTAGGTACTGATTATGACTATATATTTAAATATACCTAAACGAAACTAATATAATCCCAAGAGAAATGTCATATTTGGTGCGAGTACGTCCGCGTGTAAAAGCTAATACAAATTATTATAAAGCACTTAACCGGTCGAACTGGCTCAAAGCCCGATACACTAAATCAATGTTTTCGTCTTTTTGCCAACATTAAATATTTATGTGATTCAATTTTGGGACTCAATTGCATAAACGCCATTTTGTAATAAAACGGTAATTTATTGCGCCCTTAGGCCGGGTTTCATTGACGCATTTTGAAGATGAAGACTCGGATTTACGGATCAAGTGTATATAAAATCTCTAATGATTATTTTAGCTAATTAACAGACTGAAGTTAGCAAGTGCAAATGCGAACAAATCAATATCAACATATATTAAGCCTATAAATGTAAAAAATATAAAGTGACTTCTCGCTAATGAACAGAGAGCGTCGGGTCGTGCTTAAAAATTAAAACACGAACGAATTCAATTTGTCGCAACTTGTTTAAAATCCATTAACAAAATATTGTATTTATTTTGTAAGGTAAGGTTAAAGTGTTTTATTCAAACAGTTTAGCCGCTTAAGATGCTTTAGATAAAACACAATCATAACCCCCGTGTAAGTAATTGAAACTTTATTTAAGTTTTGTTGCCTTAATCTTGTTTCAAAAATAATTTATAATTAAAATAATCTCCATAATACCACTAGGGTAAGCTAGAGACTTAAATTAAGATAACTAAAAAAGGAAACGGTCGCTCCCGTATGTAGGTGTGAGACGTCCAATTTACCCTTTACGCATAACGAGGAAGTGGGCAGTATCAGTGTTAAGTGACAACCACAAATCCTAGATCCGTTATTCCGTTATAACGACTGTCGGAGGCTTTCTAGGACCTATTTACTGTTAGACCGTGTCTTATCTGCCTCAATTTAAACGCGGTACTTGGATAGTATGTCTTACTTTAGTTACGGGTCGGTAACAGCAGTGTATATATCTATTCGGCCTCATAATTAATCTGTTTGCCTTAACATTATCTTATATTTCTTATCTTGTATTTCTCGAAAGACACAAGAGGCTAAACCAACACAGCCCTTGCTTGATTAATATAAACGTAAATGCTCGGTTTTATGGTGTCGTTGCTAGAATTATAGCGATATATGACTATTTTTACTTAAAAATAGTTTTTGAGTAATCGTGTTGAAATTCCGTGCGAGTCACAAACCGTCGTCTAGAGATGGATAAGTCGTAAAATGTAATAGCGTTTACGTTTCATTCTACGGATTTTGAATGTCCAAAGGCAAAATAGACTAACAGCGCAGTTGTAAATGCTATGTAGAATATGAACACTCCGTCAAGCGAACCCCATACGCCTTGAAAAATCCAAATTCATATATTTTGATGCGAGGTTAGCTTATAATTAGGCTGTTATTTTGTTGTGATTAAAAAAAATATTGAGGGTAGTTTACGTTTTTCGATACGACGGCCGAACGACATCAGCCTGCGCTATCAGACGCTTTTGGGTTCCACTCGAGCGAGCTGGTTGTGCATAATTTTATTATTCAATTTGACTGCCAATTAAGAATATTAGTTAAATGGAGAACGTAGAATTAGAACGCCCGAAGAACGTGTCGGTTAACTACTAGGTAATGCTCATACAGTTCCCGCGAGCCCAGTGCGTTTTTTAAGAGTAATTGACTTTAAGGGCGCTCGTTATTCCCAATTGCGATACAGACTGACACACCACAATAATAGTATTAGTAGTAGACATTTTCGCACGTATTTTATCTTCATACACTAGTATATACAAAAGGTACAATATATGTTTCGTAAAGTCGTTACCATATTAAAATTTCCGCGTAAATCCATTAATCCATTAGGGTGACGTGTCTGTATTGAAAATTATTACCTTACACCAATTAGCTAAAAGTTATCTCGAATCAGTTATAATAATGGTGTTATTGAATATGCAATAAGTCTTCAACGATTCGGTCCATGTTACTATTATTTATTTGATAACCGACGGTTTTTTAAACATAAACCCATGACTCTCTTTATGTCATAGCTTTTATACATTTAAAATAAATGTTAAATAGATATATCTATACATATAGCTATGATATAAATTTATAATGTAAATTGTTGAAAAATGCTGGCTATAGTTTACGCGAGTAGTACACATTTAAATAAAACACTTTAACGGTTTAAAACGCGATTTACAGAAAGTCAGTAACCCGGCCAGTTTCGCCAAATACCAACTTCGACGGAACAGATGGCGCTAGTGTAGCAATTGTTTACTTTGACGTCAGAGACATCCTCCATCTTTAGTCTCCCCATGACCACGGCTGCTGCAAAGCATCCGAAACGTCGGGCCGAAGTTAAAAATCATTTTCAAATAAGTTTAACTAATATATCGCGTTTTAAACGGTTAAAGTGTTTTATTTAATTGTTGAAAAATCTTTACATCGCTGGCTGGGCTTGCACCGGCATCCGAAGCGTTTTTATTTCATATAATGCCATCATGTGCAATAACATGTGGGAATTTTTTTTTTAGTTTTGAAGAACAATAATTTTAACTGCGGCCTGACGTTTTTGATGCTTTGCAGCAGCCGTGGTCACGGGTAGACTGAAATAAGACTGAATTCAAATAACTTTAACTAATAGTTCTAATTAAAATATATGGCTATAGCGCCCTCTCATACACATAACTTAGAGTTACAGTTTGTGTCTCACTATCTGTATACACTCGAATGTTGTATGTTAATTGCATTATTTCACTTGAAATAAAGAAGTCGCACTTTATTTTATAAGCAACAGAGAGGTAAAAAATTATGAAGCGTCTCTGAAGGCATTTGTGAGGCACAATCTGGCGTCGATTTATAGCAGCCGATTTATAGGTATTACCGAAAATTTATCATCTCCACAGTCACTCTGCATGCCTTAAAATTTCTGTTCAGTTTACGACCTCGATAAAATTTACGATCTTACCTTAAAACGCTTAATTCTTTTTATTTTATTGCGTGTTTCAATTCATTTGCTATTTTATTTTACAAGGCGTTAAATGTTAAGATATCGTTTGCTCTTGATTGCTTGTTAAACATATGCGGCGGTCAGGGGCAAAGTAGCCTAACTGCAATTTTATGACTTGAATTCTTTATATTTTCATAGTCTAAAAGTGTTAATCTCAAAGAGCACAGAGAGCCATACTTTTACAAATAATAGTACAAATTCGTTTTCGCTAAAGTTAATTGCGCATTTTTAATTTCCGCCTTACTGAAAATCATGTTTTTTGTTATTAGGCCACTCTGCCTTTAGCATCCTCATATATGCTTTGTATGTACATCAGAAATACAACACAGCGTTTTGCCGATTATGAACTTACAATCTGTCCACAAGACATTTAACAAACAATAAAATGGCCACACCGAAAGACGTCCGAATTCTACTCACATATTAGTTACTGTTAAACGAAAGTACAAGTACATTTGGAAGCACTTTCTCCCTACGCACACGTAAATAAAGTAACCACTCAATTAAATACGATTTCAAATTTTTTTTTTTTTGTTTTTATATTTGAGAAAAAGTTTATTGTGCATTTAAAATGAGACCTATTTATTGTATTTTATATTAAATGTGATGTACATAGTAATAATATATTTTTTGTGTATCTTTTAAAAGGTTGCGTTTTTAGAGTGAATTCTTCTAGTTTAAATATTATTATTGTTTTAGGCTACGAAAATGCAGCAAACGACGTTAATATTGGCGGGATTTCTCCTACTGGCCGATAATGCTTTGGTAAGTAAACTTAAAACATTTTATGGAGCAAACTGACACAAAATTAAAATTGTAAGTGAAATTCGAATTTTTCAAAAGTATGACAATGAATATTTACCAAAAGACACTTCAGCACCGGGCACTCCTTGTTTTGCATAAGTTTCACTTTTACAAACAATAGGTCGATCCTTTACATTTTTCATCAATTCTCATCGAAGCATTCATCGATTCTAAATCACGATTTATCCACAATATAACAAAAAAAAACGAATGTGAAGTGAATAATAAATTACGAAACTGTCCCTGTAACGCGTTACGTAACAACGTCCTTTCACAATAATTATTCACATAAATAGATACCAATGCGGTGCTTTATTAGACTAACTTTTTAAGTTCTCGTTGTTTAACATATCAATTGTCAAATAGTGGTATCCGTATTTTACTTTTTTTTTATTTAAACGGTCTACAGAACTATGCTATAATTTTTATTAGAGACATAGCTTAAATATACGATAGTAATCATAAAAATAAAAGCCATAACAAAAAAATAACAATAATTACAATAAAAATTATATATTAGTGTTGTAAAAGAAAAATCAATAATTGTCGGAGACCGGAAGTACACTAGTAAAAATGTCAAGGTCAAAAAAAGAAAACGTGACCCAAAATGGACACTTTTGCTCTTCCACAACGTTTTGGTTGTGGAAGAACAAAAGTAACCACAAATTGTAAATACGATTGCTTGCACGAGGGACAGAAAAAAATATGCGTTTAGCTAGAATAATGTTGTATATAATGATGGACAGTTCTTAATCGTTAAAAAAATATTTACGTAGAACGCCCACACACTGAAACAAAATCCCTAATCATATTTCAGGTGCATTCAGCCAAGCAAGAAATCAAAGTGTCAGAGTCCTACCTGCCAGTAGCGATGCAGATCATCGCTCATCTGACGGACCAAATGACGTACGAAATGAAGGATGACGTTCCCAAGAGGACCACAACGACAACTGCCCGGCCCCTGTATGTGACTTACGACTTCTTCAATAATCTGGCTGGATGGCATATGCGGTATAGGCTTAGGTGATGGTTCTTCCGCTTTTCTGACTTTCGCTTTAGACGGTTTAAAATGTCAAATATGTCATACTTACTTTTAATTAGGACGCGACGTTTCGGATGCTTTAGCAGTCCAAAGAAGGGAACTGTAGAGATGGATGGATTTGCAATACAAACGCCATCTGTTTTGTCATAATTAAAATTTAGGTATCCTTGAATCCTTACAGAACTCCAATAATTGGATACAACACATCGATTTCTCGATATATTTAATTGAATGAAAATCGTAATGACAAAAATATAAGCTTTCAGAACAAATCATTGATTTGCTTTTTAATATGATTTAATAATATTGACATAGATTATGCTTAACCAAGTGTATGAGCTTAGATCAGCAAGAAATAATTGATTTACTTGTTGTTGTACATGTTAATGTTAAATACTGTCTATAGTTTACGCGAGTAGTACACATTTAAATAAAACACTGTAACGGTTTAAAACGCGATATATTAGTTAAACTTATTTGAAAATGATTTTTAATTTCGGCCCGATGTTTCGGGTACTTTGCAGCAGCCGTGGTCACGGGGAGATACATTTTCAAATACGTTTAACTAATATATCGCGTTTTAAACCGTTACAGTGTTTTATTTAAATGTTAATGTTTTTTCAGAAAAAATCATTCTTTATCAATGGCGAATTCTTATTACACCTTTTCTATTTTTTTCGATAGGAAAACTAAATACATAAAGATACCACGATGTTGTGTAGTTTAGTAAATAAATTTGAGCAGAAACTGAATGTTACAATATTTTATGGCGAAAATCAAAGTTGAAAATATCACAGCTCTTGATAAATAGTATTGTCTCAAATTTTCTTTCAGAGTATTAAATTCGTACTGACTAAAAGCCCTAGCCAAAGTTATCAACAAAATATTTTCGCTTTCGTTGCATAAAGGACGTCGTCTTGGCACTAAATATTTCCTGAAGCAAGAAGCGGTATTTCACATTTATCTTATCCTACAATTTTAATAAAATTCTTTTAATCTTCCCTTAGCGTATGCATGAATAACGCCTCTTTGGAATAGCTTCTGCGCCTAACAATACTCACTACTGCACAAAATATTCTTCAATTCCTAAGAGATACAATGTTTAACACATCTATATATTTATATGTATACTTAAATATCTCAAAAAAATGGTTAAAAAAGATGTCCGTACTGTCGCTCGTAGTAAATTAAGGCTAATCATTGGCTTTCCATCTTCAGCACGTAAAATACAATTATTTTACACTAAAAAAAAGTATAACTAGGGTCCGATCGAAGGTAGGTAAAGCCAAATGATCAACTAAAGATACAATTGTATGAAAGTGAGGACTTTAAAAGAAGTGTTTTTTGACCAAAGACGGTCTGACACTAGACGCTTAGCTTAGTTTTTATTATAATAATGGGCTTAGCAGAATTAACGCAACGCTTAAAAACGCTTGTTACGCCGTTTATATTTTGCTTAACTGCAATGTAATAGTGTTCCAACTTCCAGAGACATAACCACGCCGTTCCACAAGCCAGGAATATATTCTCCCCTAGCACCGCCGAAGCCGTCGGACAGGCTCGGAAAGCCCGACAGTTCTCATAAGAATCAGGCGTTCGTCCTGCTGCCTATGGACCAAAGCTCAGAGTACAGTTTGATCAAGCCCCAAGAGCACACGGAGGGACCTCTCCTCTCTGCCCACAATGACCAGGTTCATCCAATAGTGGAGCCAGCACCGAATGATCCACATCTGTTACCGCCTTACGATGACCTGAAAGTTTCGAGTAGATCTGACGATGTCGATGAAGAAAACCTGCAGTATTTGTCCGGAACGGTCAGCGATATGATAAGAATGGCTAACGACCCGGATGACGATAGAGTGGTCGATGTTTGGGAGGGTTCGTAAAAATATTTTAATAACGGCTTAATTATACATTACTTTTACTATTTTTTACGATAGAGGAGGACTGAGAAGCGTGTTGTTTACTTGATGGTAAATGAAACGCCCCAGCCCTGTAACATCTCCATAACATTCTCTGTCGACCTATTTTGGTTAAGGATATTCAGTAATCAACAAATTGTAAACTGCCGCGGGATTAAACTTCACGGCTTTTTTATCTGTGAACCCATGACCCGTCGATTATATTTCATACATTGCTACCATTACACCAGCGAGTCAAAGATAAATTGGCGTTTTCGAGGGTCCTAGGTGGTATAGTGTAAAACATGCTTGACATGTTTCAGGTTTAAGATTAAACCCAGCTGAGCCGTCAACAAAGGGCAAACTGTCGACGTCGAACTTGAGACTGTTACTCTTGTACGACCTATTGAGCAGGGATGCGAAGAAACAACGACTGTCAGACTACAGTGTAAGTTATTTTATTTATACTCCTGAAGATTTATTAGTTATGTCGCACTAAGCACACGTCTTTTTGTGTTATCGTCTTTTTAAATATTTAGCAACGGAACAAAACACTGGTATAATGTATATCACACTGATTACCCAGTTTTTTCAAACTGGCACATACACTAGGCTCCCGATGACCCTACCACGCTCCATCGCCCCACCCTTCCACTATTCCATTAACTAGCAGAAATCGGCAGAATTTGACTACTGTTTGTAATTTTAAGAAAATCTTATCCAATGCATTCGTAACATTATATTTGTACGCTTTTATCTCACATTTTAAGATAGATCATGACGTCACAATATTATAAACATGAATATAAGTAAAATCATTGTTTTATATGTAACTTAATATTACATATGATCAAATTTGATTTGCTTTTTGCACTGAGTTAAACATACACAAAATCTAGTCGACAATATTAGTTACTAATATTGTACCGTTTTAACGTTAATATATTAAAAAGCGAATAGTTTGTTCCTTTGTCTGGTTGAATGCGATCATCTCAAAAACTACTGTATCGATTTGAAAAATACAATCTTAATTCTTATCTTAGTCCATTTATCTGGGCATGCAGTGCAGGGTATTATTTAAAAAAAAAGACAAGCATTGTAAAGTTGATTAGACAAGAAATCTTTATCCAAAAGTTGAAAAGAGTGCCTTGTATATGTTTTTGAATCTGATAAAACTCAGAAGCACCGCGTGAAGCGGCGAGTCGCTGTATATTACAAACCACTCAGTTGATTGAGTAGTAATATGTTGTAGACTACAATACGAATGAAGGCTTTTTATTAAACCCTTTAATGCTTTATTTATTCATCGTTTTTTATTGCTGACGACAGTTTCAGAGTTTCTCATTGCAACATAGTGGAATAAAAAAAGTTTTCACTGAAATAAAAGTGCTTAAGGTACTCACTAACAGAATATACATTTTATACGTAATATTTTTGGGCTATGACAGTATTACATTGTTCCATCATGCAAGAACTGATCAACGGGTCGTCTCCTTACAGAGTCCACCGACCCACAGATGAAAAAGCCGTGAAGTATAATATAAACGGTTTCAATCTGTCGATTTCCGAATATCCAAAGCTAAAATAGAAATCTTGTTTAAATTTTATAGGGCTGGGGTAATCAACCTACCATGAATTGAATCTGCCCCTGCTTGTATGTCCTTCTTAATAAAAAAAATAGATAATCGGGGAAGACTTATTCAGTTTCAACGGAATAAGTCAGTACCACGTAATAATATACACTTTATAGTAGCCACTAGCGACTCTCGTAATAATCACTTAGCCATAAAAAGTAACAAGCTTCAAGTAAGATACATCATTGAATTCTCCACAAAAGAAATAAAAATTTTATACGCGACACTAAAACTAAAATGAAACCTTTTTATATCGCGAAGGTCGACGCTCGTTCTTCCCACTATCTTCGAACAGGAAAGATCAATCGAAAGACAACACCTTAACACTCGGTCGTTGACCTTCTTTCAAAGGCTTTTTTTTAATTTTAATTAGATCCTCACTGTTGGGAACTGATACAGTTATTTTTACGACTTAGATGTTATTTTAAGCAAAAAATATTATCTTATCTGTCAATTATTATAAACTAGCTTTGCCCGGGAGTATGTCCGCGTGCTGTAGTTATTTTAGGCATCATATTATTTTAATAAAACACTTTAACGGTTTAAAACGCGATATATTAGTTAAAGTTATTTGAAAATGATTTTTATTACTTCGGCCCGACGTTTCGGATGCTTTGCAGCAGTCGTGGTCACAGGGACACTAAAGATGGAGGATGTCAAAGTAAAAAATTGCTACGCTAGCGCCATCTGTTCCGTCGAAGTTGGTATTTGGCGAAACTGGCCGGGTCCTCACAGAATTGACTAACGGTGTCTTCGCATTTGCCGGTATGCTTTTTAATGGGATCCAGAGTTTTTAATATGGGATTGATAGTAATTTTTAAACCGTTAGTGTTTTATTTAAATGTGTACTACTCGCGTAAACTATAGACAGTATTTAATCATATTATTTATTTAAACCAGAGCGTTTTTAATTGTAACTGATTGATGACCACGATTTCGTCCTCCTCCCGTTGCATTGTTCGAGCGAGTTAATCTTAAAAGATGGGCATATGATGTCGCAGATATTTTATTAGATCATTTAAAGAAGGAACATTATTCCACACATAGTGTTTTTTTTTCGTCGCTTTTTCTACATTGTCCTCGCTCCTATTCATATGTTGTAAAAATGCTCCAATCACAACAAACATAATTTTTAATTTCGAACAGGTATTACTAAGATTAGCGCGATCCACCAGACAAACAATATTAAGCTATTTATAATAGGCTTTATAATATTAGTATAGTCTATTTATAAACCAATATTTTCGCAGTGAAGCCAGGAATAAGAGCTTGTGTTGCTTACTGTCTTATCAAAGTGAAATTCTTTCCACTTTTTTCTTCATACAATTCCAATGTCAATAAAAGTAGAGATCTTTACTGCTTTGTTTTCCTGAACTATGCCCGTTATGCTGAGTCAGAAGTCTCCTCTCAAGGTCGAAGGACTTTTTATGGGGAGAATAAACGGGATTTTTATTAGCCCTGTCTTTATCCTGAAGAGTTCTTTTATTTGATGTTAAAGAAGGTGTTGTGTCTTCAATAAATAATTCATAAGAGCATAATTGAGGATAAAAGAATATTTTCTAGTTAAAACTATCGAACTACAAAAATTTAAATATCCTCTTAGCATCTTTGTATTTTAAACGTGTTAGTTAGAAAGTTAGAAGTTTATTTACAATTAAGCTCTTATAATATAATAATATTAGAAAGCTAAAGATTTCGTTTGTTGGAACTCGCTGATCCCAGGAGCGACGGGTTCGAGTTGGTTTTGTGTTGGTAAGAGCATTTATCGAGGAAGGCTTTAGGCTATCAAAACGTATACCAATGGACCAATAGGAGCGAAGAAACAGGAAAAATATTTAAATATATCCAAAAAATATGTATGAATGAATGATTCCAAATTTAATGATGTAAAAAATGTGAACGACACTATATGTTTCTTTTTTAATGTTAACTGGCAGCTTACAGGATTACCGCTGTAATTTATAGAGTTAAGGAGGTATTGCAAAAAAATGTGTGATGGCTAAAATAACTTTACCACGCGGACGAAACCGCAGCTAGTATACTGAAATAATAAGATAGAAATTATCGATTTACAGGGATTTTCTCCAGATGTAATGAAGGCGCTAGTGGAGTCTTCCAGCGGTGGTGCGCGAGCGCAACTCAGCATGGCCTTATCCAAGATGGTGGATCGTCACGACTGTGGCCACGACTACGCGAACAACAGGGCCAGGGAAATGGTCGCCGAGTTGGCGAAAGACGAGTCTATGCTGTCATCGGAATTGCGATACCTCCAGCCTCTGGTCTATAAATTCTGAACTCATAGTAGTAACACTATTTTGATTAAAAATAATATTAAAGAAGTAAAGGACTACTAATCGAATCAATTCGAATTAGGATATTAATTTTAGGCGTCAATTCATTGCATAAACTGCCTACCGGCTAAGAGCAAATAACTTATATTCAATTCTGTCAACGTCTCTCGTTTAAAATATTTCTTTATAAGAATGAATTAAACTTAAGAAGATAAACTTTAGAGTAAGGAAGTCGTATATTTGATATACTAAGTAAGGTAAGAAATATATACTTATAATATGAAGCAATTCAAATGATTGGAAAATTTTATGCATGCAGTTGTTATAATACCGATTATAATTCCTAGTAATTTATTTGACGTATTTGGTTAGTGACCTCATTATTATAATCAATATCAAAATGACTGTATCGTACTGCATCAGAATATTTGACAAATAAAATATTATAAATTTTATAGTATATTTCCTTAAAGGTACATAAAAGATATAAGGTACTTAGATATATTTAATTAAATATACGTCAGATTGTGAAATATTTTTCCATGACTTCATAAAAGCTTGTTGCGATCTCCGTTTTGTATTGTCTATGAGAAATAAAATTCATATACAATTTTCACACTTTCACTACTCGTAGCATCTCCGAATTCAGTCCAGTACTAATATTTTATAAAAGCCGGCCATTTCTCAAACCTGACATTCGTTAATAGCTCAACTTTATATTTTTCTCGTTTTCGAAAGGTCTAATGGACTCGGATTCAGCGGATCAGTGTCTGCAATTTTTAAGCTCGCTTTTAACTCTTAAAATCTAGATTAAATTATGTACACTAATATTTCAAGCTAAAGAGAAAAGTATGTTTAGTAGAATTTGCTTATATTAACAATTCTTTCAGTTTTTCATTACGAGCGAAAACAGAAACAAATTATGCCGATTAGATCCTTTCTTTAAAAGATCGTTAAAAAAGCAAACCGCCCATCACTAGTATATTGCTGTAAACTGTGGTTTTAAAAGCTAGCGAAAGTATCTTTAGTATCTTCATAAATCAAGTATATAAAATTGTTTGGTAAAAATGTCCTGAGATTGCAATAATGACATTTTACGAGTATAAATTGGGCTCATAATTGGCTCTTCAAATAAAAAGAAACATTAATAAATACATACGAGTCAAACTTAAATTTTTAAAGTTCCGGTTTTAATCAGTACTAAGTGCATTAAATATTAATTCAATTAAAAGATATCTTACTCACATTCATGTAAATAATTAATAAATTATAAATTACATAAAATGTTTGTATACAAAAGAATCGGTCGAACATACTTCTATTTCCTAATAAATAGGTTTGTATAATATTGTTTATAACTTTTTATTTATTTATTTATTAAATACTTGAAGCGTTCTTTCTTTGTATGACATCTTAGCCTATAAAAGAACGAAGAACGATGTTATCATAAAGAACATTCACTTTACTGCCGTATTTAAATATATTAATTTAAGCCAGCATTCGGTTCAAAGAAATACTATTTTCCGGCATCTGAGGAGCACTCCGCGTCAATGGCAGAGACGAAGACGTTCCGAGAATTTCAAACGAACCTGAACTCAGCGTGAAGGTAAATTGAAAAATTTTATCTCTTTCTTTCATAAATCTTCGGTTCGATAAACTCAATAGAGATATTGGAATTAATGCTTGTGAAGACTTCAATCGAATTAGGATTAATCTTTTTCAGAAACGTTTAATTACTTCGCTAACGAGAAAAGGTAAAGACTTACACTTATAGAAACGTTTTTAACAAAAACTTTCTACAATATGGCACAAATAATTCACAACAGAAAGACGATAACTTTTAAAGGTCGCATTGTGAGTTTAATTTTATTATGGCCTTTAATAGTAGACGTTTACCTTTTAACTAACTTTGCTTAATCAAGACAAAAGAAATATAGTCATTTAAATTAGTAAATATATCACAATTAATCGATCGACTATCTGTTAGGCTCTAAATTTAGAAATATAAATCTACCTTAGCTTTGCACTGGCTTTCTTTGTATCAACGAAACTATTCCGCCATAAACCAACTGTATTAGACTCGACAGTAACTCTAGAATGAACGTAAACGGCCCTTGTCTGGGTTTCAAATCATCATCGCTTTCTACATCATCAAAGAAATCATCAAAATCATCTTGGGTATCATTGCCGACTTCCAATTTACCGAGCGGTAAGTAATTAGAATAGAGGGTGATTTTCTCTGGTTTTTTGTCTTCCTTCTTGCGAGCTTCTTCAGATAATTCTTCGACGTCCTTACCGCTTATATCGTTGTTGACTGGCTCAACGGATTTTGCGTTCGGCGTTTCCAATAATTCTATATTATCCCATGGTTTCTTCGTCGTCGTGGCTGGGGCCGGCGATGTGCGGTTGTACCCGAGGAATCTTAAAGAATCGGGTAAAGTTAAAAAAATGTATAGTAACTAAAGTTAAGTACTAGATTCAATGAAAAATGGGCCTTACAGGGTTTTATACGAAATAATAAGGGAATGTAGGTATGTATATATGGATGTTTAAAAAAAACCGTTAACAATTTAACGAGTGGGCATGCAATTTTAATAGTCAAGCCCTTTAGACGGGTTGAGGCGCCGTAAATCCCCGCTTAAAAATATCCCCGTACTCCTTCAATTCTTAAGACAACTGCTCATTTAGGCTTACCTATAAATCGGCGAGGTGATTCTCTCTGCAATGTTATTCGCGATCTGATGGTACACATCGAGACCGGGGGGTGTCGCTTCCTTGGTGTATATACTCACAACTGAAGAGTCCTCCTCGGGTAGAGTACGGGGTTGCCCTTGCTGCAGCTGTAAAATTCATTAATCACGAAGTCAATATTATTATCTCCAATCTAAAGACCAGTCATCGCGTCTGTAGCTAAGTGGTTAAACGTGTTAACTAGCATTGCGTTGAGCGCGAGAGGTCTTGTGTTCGAATCCCGGGGAATCGGTTTCGATCAAGCCGGACACAGAAACGTGTTCGCCCTATGGCCCACGGGGGGATATTATTTAACTATACATCCGTCACTAGATCCCGAAAAAGTTTTCGCGACTCTGTGTGTTACTTTGTATATACTATATCCACTTTGACTTAATTTGAATGTGAGCGAAATAGGTATTTTGAAGACTATTTACAGTATTTATTTATCATTTCTGCCAATAAGCCTCCCCCGTTAATTAATGCAATTCAGTCAAATATTGCAGATCAATCAGGGACGTGCTTCTTTCAGCCGCAAACAGATTATCTGAGAGTAGTCGTAGTTGAAGAGCTGGTTGCGGTTTATCGATGTGCGAAAACAAAATATTTTTTTCTTAAGATTAATAAAAAAGTACGAATTTTTAGCCTATACAATTGAAGATAACCCAAGTCAGCTATAATTTGTGAAATTGAAATGACCAATTGATCATTTAAATTTCAGAAATTCCATCGCTATCATTCCAGAGTCTTTCAAACATGGATTAATTCTAGGACGAATTGACAAAAGTTATAGTTTCTAATATTGTAGCAAATAAAATACATATTTGAAAGGTACAAAGCCTCACTAAGAATCCTGAACGTATCAAATCGTATACAATTTGTTGAGGTAGCTCACTAGTTAAAAATGGGAGCATCAGCTAACCGTTCAGTTAATGTAACCGTCTCTTAGACTACAAAGCAATTAAGCAAACAATAATCAATAAAAATCAATAATATAGCGATAACAGTATGTAGATGTCAGTGTCGCGCCCTCCAGAGTACGTGCTCCGCGTACCACCAGCTCGATGGCATTGGCTCCAAGGAGCGTTGCAAACGATCTGCATTTTAATCGGCCATTACAGCTAATGCGTTTCGGACCCTTTGACTTTTGACGTCTTGCCGCCTAATTCGTCCGCTCTACACAATTATGTAGCCTCGTCGTGTGGTGTTGCTGATTTTTTTCTATCCTGTCCTATCATTGTGTGTCACCTTGAAATTTATGATGTCGCTGTTACTCCTTAATTTTTAAATGATTAAAACTCAGAACTGACCTAGTTATACCAGCTACTAAACGACAGGTAACACATAGACTATTTGTACTTCACAAATAGACTCGTTACAAAAAAGGAACTCTATTTACATATACTACGTATATATGTAACAGCAAATAATTTATAATATATATGATGTAAACTTTGCACCAAGATCTCAGGGGCGCAAATTGACGCGCAAACGCCAGCTAATTCGCCAAAAATGGGTGGCCTAATTAAAAAGGACGCGACTCTAGTTTAATTAAGTTATTTGTCAAGTTCAAACAATCGTCTTCAAAGAGATGCTAATAGGATATTCAGAGGAGCGAGAAGATTTCGCTTTTGAGGTCTCATAAGATATGAGATTTTAAACTTTTTAATAGATTTTTAAATTCGTTGTATATTATAACACGTTAAACTTGAAATGTGACTAGTCGCTTCTCTCTTTATATTGTATTTTTTTTATTCTTGATTGTAATATTTTTCAGAAATTGAAAGGCATTAGAAATTTTCTGAAACGAAGAATATGCAGGTAAACTTAGGTTACCTTAATGCATACCCCACATCGTCTTCAAAATACCTTTTATTGAGAAGTATTGATAACTGATTTGATAAAACAGGGTTATAACTTACCTACAAGAATTTGGGTGAATTACATTTCTCGTATCACACACTTTTTACAGCAAACTTGTTTATTAATATTCACCGCTTTCCAATTTCTTTTCGGAATCATATTAAGTTGATCGTAAGTTGGTAAAAAAATGGAGTGGATTTGTAACTCAGTTCAGATGTTATTATAACCTTTTAAATCGTGCCTTTGACCGCAATGGTCATTCGTAGAACAAAAAACATAAACAAAAAAGTTGTTCACTAAAGTTCACAATAAAATATGGTGTGATACTATTATTTGGCGCGAATTTTTAAATTATTTAAGTATATTTAATAAGATATAAGTCGTACCAAAATGAATTGTGATTTATAAAAAAAAGTTCGAAAAGACAGCTTGTAAGAACAAAGGTATAGACTAAACAGCGCTATTCTCAAATAAATCACAGATAAAAAATATACAAAAAGTGACTAATCAATTTTGAAGCTACATTTTTGACATATAGTGTGAAATCCTGGCTGAAAACACGACAGACCGGCAAGTTCAAATTTAGTTGCAAAAATAGGAAACAAATAACTTTTTATGACTTTTTTTTTGTCATGACTATTGTCATTCGACAAGAAAAGAAAAAAATTCGTGGCGGTATAAACAAATGATCAAAAAGGCAAAATCTTATGCATATGCTGAAAATATAGGTTGCACGCCTATCTTTTGTGGCTTAACAAGTAAAAAAAATAATCCAAGGCTTAAATCATTGCTATGACCTTTATCGCCTTACCACGTAAATTTAAGATGTGCACGATCATAAACTCAGTATTATATTAATGGGGTTTATTATGGCTCAACTATGCCGTACGGTGTTAAAATAACTAAATCGTTTTTATAAGTAGGCATTGTTGACATTTATTTGTAAGAATTAAAAACATATAAAACATTTGTTTTCCGAAACTGTTTTTGATACAAAATAACATAACAGTAACATTTTAATTACCCTTTATGCTGTACTATATATTATATTTCGTATTATTAAGTAAACAAAAATGTGAACTTACCAGTAAGCAAAATAGTACTAGAGCAAATTTATCCATGTTTGAATAATCTGCGAACGATTTTAAACCGTTTGCTGCGTTTAAACCTCCAAAAGCGAAAGAGGCGAGCTGCGCCCACGCACATCGATATACGAATGGTCTAGCAGCTAGCTGATCGATCCATAGATCATTGTGACCATGATGTGGAGGAAAATGGGATAAGACGTGAGAGAAATTGTTATTTGCAAATTGTGCAATGAAGCTATAAAAAAAATTACCTACTCTTAGATTTCAAATCAGGGTAACAATCCACGGGATTTTTTTTTAAATAGTTTTAAAGCACAGTGTTGCGTACTATGCTGTGATATATTGATTGATAATAAATCGGGATACTAAAACAGAATAATAGATTTAATTATTAATGTCCTACACCTAAAGAGATCGACAGCGCATCTCGTTTAGATTTTATTTAGCTAGGTTATTTCATTTTCACTATCCTAAACTCTTAATATAAATTTTATATTCATCATATTTATTGAATAATTAACCTTTAAATAATTAGTTGAAAAATAAAAGTTTTTATATTTAACTGTTAAAAGCGCCACCTAGTGACAATATAACAACTCTACTTACTTTGCATATCATTTCATATCACATTATTCTATTTTATGTCATGAACTCTATTTTTTTGCTTAGAAAATCAATATTTAAAATGTAAAATACTTTACTGATCCGTTTTTAATTGTAATCCGCGGCAAAAGAATATGGTTTATATTTTTATAGTACAGCTATTTTACACCAGGTGGCATTCCCTACATTACATCTTAGACTCCGCCATTTTGTTACCATGACAACGACGTTGTGTTTTCAAACATAACTGGATTGCCTTAAGTGTGGCGCGTTTTGCTGTGTTTTCGTGAAACAAAATATAGAATGTCTGTGAAGGAGGACAATTATGCTTCGAAAATAATCTGCGACCGCTTTAACAGACACACTTCTCATTCTTTTAAATGCAACAAGTTCGTGCGAAAACCGAATCCTGTGAAGAAGGTGGTATTATCAAAGAATATTGAAGCCAAAGACAGAAAAAGTTGTTCAACGGGTATCATTAACTCTACTCCGTGTGAAAAGAACAAAATTAGTAAATCAGATTGCATACTTGATACATCTAGAACAAAAATCGATTTCTGCAAAAGATGCGGAGACGTGGAACCGATAAAACCTATTGTAGCTAAAAAAGAACATAACAGCAAGTCTAAGCACAACTCTATACATCAGCACTACGTAAATAAAAACTTCTACCAATCAACAGAATCTGTTCCAGATTCTACGGTCAAAAGGGTTTACTTGGATACAATTTGCGAACAATCAGAAGTTAATGATTCGAAAGACACAATTTTCAGAATATACGAGGAATCTTCAGATGACGACTGTTACTTTGACCCTAACGAAAAGAACAACTTCGAGAATTTAAAAGAGTTTCGCAGTGAAAACTTCTTCGAATGCCACTCGGCAAAATCGAGACTAGAAGCCAGTGTACGTTGCGACGAAAAACACAAGTGCGTTTACAGATTTTACTTAAACGAACGACTATTTCCTGTGCCGTTTAATACAGATTTTAACGAAAATATAAGATGCATGAGATGTAATTTGCCGTTGAAAAATAAGCAGGATCTCACCACAAATGGGATGATACAGGCGAAAGTGAAATTAGATGGTGAAGTGCAGGATATGATTCTAATGTTACCAGTTAAAGAACACCTAATTATAAAAGAGAAAAGGAAAGAAAGAAAAAGAAGTACAGACCTCAATTCGGTCTTTTTTGGAATAGTAAAATTGGATTTCAACGGAGACTCAATATTCAATAGATCCTTACCAGATGATTCTTTGGCTTTGAAGTATCAGAAGGGATACAGGAAGTTTGATGACCGTAATGATTACACTTATAATGATACTGATGATAATGATGTTGTGATTATTTGAAGTCTTATTATGCTTTTCGATCATGTATAATAAAAAATCTTTAAAAATAATTTATGCTTTTTCCGTTCGAACTTAAATGTACTCATTTAAAATTTTTAACACTTTTGTAATAGGCCTTACATAAGGTCAGGTAAACGAAAAGCTACATTTGATAGAAAAAGACGAAGGGAAAAAGGAATGGAGTGCACAAAATGACATTTCAACTCATTTTTATTACAAAATTAGCGAATAAAGCAAAATCACTGAATTCGTGGGACTCAAAAGTCCGCAACTTAGCACTAAAATTTCTAGTTAAAATTATAATTGGCACTGACACAATTATTATTCATATGAATCTATTATAATAACAACATTATTAAAGAAGAAACTCAACCCGGTCATTCATAATTTCGTAGCGATTTAATATAGAGTGACGCTTACGGCAAGCGCGTGCGCAAGGTCGAGTGAAATGGTGTAATGCTGCACTCGTGGAAATAAACAGAAACCGTAGTAAAGTTGCATCCCATATGACAAACCGGTTCCAGATTTCCATACGCTGCGCCATTCTGCAATAAAAAATATATATACGATGGCGAAAAGCGCGCGCCCTCAGTCGGAGTCTGAATTGAGTAGGACGCGGTCAGTCACCAGTCGACGACTTTGGACGCGAAAATGTTGCTCGTATCATTTCTATTCACGGCGAGTGCAGTGCTAGCGGAGAATTCTTTACGTAAGTTACTGTTGTAATATTTTTGATAATTGTTACTAGGTATATTGATTTTATTTTGCAAACTTTTCCTCATTTTTTTCGTGATTTGTTTCCCCGTTATTTTTGATATACAGCAATAAATTATATGTAGATGATACTTACTCCTTTAAAATTTAAATTAACTGTATTAGAATACACACACCAAACAATTTAAGAACTATCAAAACCGTTACAAAAATGGGAAAACTAATTTATTTAATTAAATTTATCTGAAATCTTTTTGACAAGTGGCAACGAAGTGTTATTAACACAGAAGAAGCTGTAATATTTTAGATTACCTGTAAAAGATTATTACTTTTTCATTCTTGCTCTGTTACTTTGTTAACTCGCTTAGATATCGCACCTATGTATAATAAAGGTCGTTATTAAAATGCATAATTTATAGAAGAATTATCATCGTTGTAAAGTCATCAATATCAACCGCATAATAGTGCCATGTGCAGTTTATTATAATGAATTGAACTTTTCAAGGGCAAACCCTTGCAGGAACCTAAATTCCATTGCCTACCAGTTACCGAATCGAGGGCGAAGTGTTCGCTGGGGAGGTTTTCCTATTTTCAACCTTGAAATTGAAATAGCAATAAGAATAAAGTTCTACGTCCTTGTGCATTGCATTCAAATCACTGCATTGTGTTGAATCGTGGTTCGACAACCACAAACAGCCGTGGACCTTCAGCGACGGCACCTTATATATCCTAACAATGTCTGTCCAAAGGCTAATGACATTTTTGTCCCTAAGTTCTCATATACGCCTATATCATTAATGATACCATGGTCCAGTAGATTTGAATTCGGTTATATCTGTGGTTGTATATACCATAAGAATAGACTTCGATGCATTACGTTATGAAGTGCAACATTGCACTCATATAATTGATGCATAGCAGTCTGTAATCGTTATGTTAATCGTGATTAAATAATTCCAATGCTTAGCGTAATTTTGTAAAAACATTTTAGCAACGGCAGTTCATATGCTATAAAAAATCATTAGGATAAACTCTCTAAGGATCTTTTAAAACTACTCAATAAGAAATGAATAGAGATGTTTACATTGTTTCTTTTTTTAATTCCCGGATATGGCCAACACTACTCGTTCTCGCTTAGATCAGAAAATGGTAGGTCAAAATAGTCAAATGGTGCCTCCTGGCAGTATAATCGCTAAGTGAGTGTATAATACGAATATTGTTAGTTACGTAATGACTTTCGACGTTACGCTAGCTAGTGCTCGGTTTCCGAGTTCAGGGGCCTTAATATAATTTTATGGTCAGATCAAGATATGAAATATAACAAGAAATTATTGTTTATCGAAACGTTTTTGTTTTCACCTACATGCAAAACGCAAATCTAACATCTTTACCCAATACACTTATATTAAGAAATGGGTCCCGCATTCATCGCAAAGTTATTGTCTTAAATAAAATTTAAATCATTAATACTACAAAAGTAAACAGAAGTAGCATACATTGTAAATTTATATAAATAGACTTAATTTATTCATCTTCTCTTGGATACGACCTCAGAACTCCTCTTATGGAGCGTTAAAACAACGAATTCTTAAAATGACCCATAAGAAACAATGGTGTAAAAGTCTTTGTTATGTAAAAATCGTATTTCTTACGATACCTACTCGCTTAGTATTCACCGAGAACACCCAGGAATACGGAACTCTTGCAATCCGATTCAAGAACGTCGCTTCTATAAATATAAGTGTTTAAATTGATTTAACATTATAAACTAATTTATAAAATATATTTATATAGGACTCACTTGAGTAATACGGAAATTAAAATAACAGTGGTGATAAAATACTTCGGCTTTACACCAATTTAGGATGTGATATTTTATTTAATATTGGAGATAAAGCAGCAATAAATTATTTTCCTTTATTGTTCTGTGGATGGAGGCTGAAGTGGTAATCGAAGCCACAACCAGTGTATCAATTGTACATGTTAGTTTCGAATAAAATTCTGCGAAGGCATCATGTGCAATAACGTAACAGTATTAAAGTTATCAAGCTTAATTTCTATAGTGCCCTTCTGGATAAATCAATTCCACAGCTACACCTTTTGTATGATGTAGTAGCTAAGCTAACCCTGCCTCGACGATGGCACCCTTTGGCTCCTTCTCCTCCACGCAGGTTTCGTAGCGCGGTTTGGCAACAGCAGGCCGGCCTCGTCCCCGATCTGCTCTCCACGTATTTTGTAAGATCGGACAATCGTTGGAATATTTCGCCCTTTCCTAACACCTCCTTGGGCTATTGAGTCACACACTCCACCGCATTGGGTGGAACGGCGAGAAATAACAGTATCCTTGAAAAGTGGGAATATTTCTCTTTACCCTTGCTACTACCGAACTAAACAGAAGTAGCATAATTATTTTAAACAAATAAACTAGGATAATTTCCTTACTATTTATCTTTATTTTCTGCACTTGGATAAGGCTTCAGAACTTTTCTTAGGAGCGTTAAAACAATTAATTCCAATTTAATTCTTCGTAGAAATTTTCCAGATAAAGCATTATTATTTTTGTGCATATCACTTAATAAAATAACTTAATATAATAAAAACAGTGCAATGCACTTAATTTGAATCATGGGACAGACTTCGGAAAAGTGTATAATTGCTGGTTTAGCAATTATAATTATAATAGCTTAATAAGTAATTAAGATACAATATATTTTACTTTCAAATATGATTAATCACAGATTTTAATGAAACATATCTATATAACGTATATTTTAAAAATCCTATGATACTGTAAAGGATCAACTTACAGTATTTAAAAATAATGTTGAGATTAACACACATTCCAGAAGAGAATTTCAACTTAAGATCTGTCATTTCTCTTAAAACGAAAGGTGCTTGACTCGTGTTTCGTAACTCGAAGGTCAAGTTTATGTAGATGTGTATATTACGAAACTACGAGAATATTATGTATTTGCATAAAATGTAGTTTGCACATTGAGGTGTTTGATGTCTTCTAACCATGAGCTAAGAGTTAATAAAACGCGCTGGTTTTATGTTTAACATCAATATATTTTATTGCTGAGTAAATTAAAGCGAGATGTTATTTAAATGGAAAATATCTAATTAAGTTAAGTTATCTTGTCTGTAGTTTACGCGAGTAGTATACATTTAAATAAAATACTTTGACATTAGCTAAATGGTGCTAGCTTAGTAGATTTGACTTTGACATTAGAGACATTTTCAGTCGCCCTGTGACTACGGCTTCTGTAAGTATCCGAAACGTTGGACTATTGTTAAAATAAAAATATAGTATCTGAATATAATGCGAAAAACGAAAGGAAAATCTAACGCCTTACAATAATTAATTTTTGTAAAGTAAAATTGACGTAGGATGTTGCGGTGTAAAGATTTCTTCTATTTTTTTTCGAGTAAACAATTAATTATCTATATTTGTGCATCGGTTTACTGTCTTATCAAACTCAAGTGTGTTTTTATTGGGACATTTGATGCCCAAAACACGTCTGTGTTGAGGATATCACATGTGTTGAAAGACAATTGTTGCGTGGTTGCAGCCGCAGATTTCATACGATGTCGTCAGAAGGACAGCGGGTTGAATGCCTGTCTCAAGACCGCCGTGCCAGATGCATTAAGGAAGATGAAGAAAGGTACTTTTACTTTTACAAGACGCAGGTCAATGCCGGTACATTAGCGCCATTTTGAAACGCGCGTTATTCAGGCTCGGCCTTCGGCTAATGCCTTCTGGATTTCTTATTGCGAAGTGGTGGGGTATAGAACATAATAAAAGGTACTTGGTAACAAAAGAATAGAAAAAGTCTGTTATGTGAGGACTAATTTCCCAAAAGAGTATAATAACTATAATTAGACTCAGAAGAGTATTTCTTGAGCATATTTTCCGCTATTATGTTCAACCAGGACACGAACCCACTGTCTCGCGCTTAACTCAATGCTAGGCAATATCAAAATATATGATCTTCGTTTGCAAAAATGACTCTTTGAAAACAAAAACTGTTGAACAATAGTTGCGGTTTTATCCTCTCCAATTTTCAGGAGTAATGGAACTATCTGTGCCCCCCCTGGAGCCACTGTCAGTGTCGGGGATGAACATAGAAGCCGGCGCCGGACCCGTGGTCATAACGCAGAATTACAAAAATATTAGACTTAGCGGTCTTACGGACTCCATCATCACAAACTATAAGTTGGTAACTTTTTTTATTGTTTGATCCATAACAATGGAGAAGAACAGAAAGGCTTGATGAAAGATAAAATACCCCAGCCATATAACACTTCAACAAGAAGCTTTCAACCTGTTTTGACTTTGGATATTCGGAAATCCACATACTGAAAAATTCACGGCTTTCTCAGCCGTGGTTCAATAATTTGTTTATGTTAAGGTACAAAGATACAAAATCAGATTGTTTTTGTTTATTAACTCCGATTTAACTAAATTAAATTGCGTACACTTAACGCGACGTACATATCACAATATTTCAGTAAATACATAAAGTGTTGCAGAAAAATAGTCATTAACTGAATAAAATTTTCAGAGCCGACCTGAAGCAGTACAGATTAAGAACGGAGTCTCTCACACCGAAGATGGAGTTCATCGCGGACTATATAATGAAAGGCAGGATATTGGTTTTGCCCATTCAGGGGAAAGGCATAGCCAACGTTACGATGGGTAGGGCCAACATTTTAAAGTCCTAATTAAGGAAATACTATAAGTTTCTAAACGAACTAGTGTATTAAAACTACATTGATTCCTGTCTAACAGTAAACTTGGTAGTGAAGCATGACCTAATCGGCGAGCCAGTCTCGAGAGACGGAGAGACGTACATGTGGATTCGGGATTATCGTGTCAAATTCATTCCGAAGAAAGTGTATTTACACTTTTCTAACTTATTCAACGGTGACAAACGGCTTGGAGATCAAATGAATTTGTAAGTGTTTAACGCCATCTAGCGGCTAGTAGTATAACGATTTGTTGTTAATACGAGTACATAAGACCAGTGTGGCTCTAAGATACAAATGTTGTTTATGCAATCATAAAAAGTATACAACTGATCCATGGTTGAACCTCACTAATAGTTAATAACACCCCTTTTTTACAGGTTTTTAAATGAAAACTCTGACCTAGTCTTCAATGAGTTAAAAGACGCGTACGAAAAGAGTTTAAGCTCAGTATTCCAAGACGTCACAAACAAAATTTTCAACTCCGTACCAATGAATAAAATATTCCCCGAAGACTAAAGTGATATTATCGTTTAAGCTAGATTAAGATTAAGTTTAGGAAGCTTTAAAAGTTTTATACTGATACGTTTACACCTTGAACTGCGTTGGAAGAAGACCAAAATGACGAAGTACTTCTTTCAGTAAAATAACACCGACTTCGATAAATCAGTTAAAATGATGTATTTGGAAAATGGTTTAGATTTTGCTACTTATAGCTAAACTCTAAAAACCAAACCAAGAGATACTATACCAAAACTAGTTCCGCTATTGACCACTAGAGGCACTGAAAACAGCTACTCCTACTCTGTCGAGTCCATTTTTGATAGCACTTAGTCTATTTTTGCCTCAACTTAAATTGCTTTGTTGAAGTCGGTTAAAATGTCAAGTCGTGTAAACAGACTATTTATTACAGCTTTAATTATTTGTACAAAATTTATTTTTAAGTCTAAAATAAACGACAATATATTACTTAAGTGTTTTATTAACCTTTAAAATCCCAAAATTGTGTATATAGTGTTGTTAAATAATTTTATTCAAATCGGAAGGTCTTCTTTCGTTCAATTCAACGTCGGGGCTTTCTTGATCGGCGACTCGTCTAGCGTTATTCAAGCAAATCGTTTTGCAAAAGGCTTCATTTATAATTATTACTGCAACAAAGCTCGTCTGTAATATACGTAAACATTCTTAGCGATATTATATGCCAAACTCACTCACATATGCTGACTAGGAAGAAGTAAATCATGCACCCCAAAGTTATGGCTTGGTAATTCATGTCATGTCTGAAGAATACAATTAAGGATGGTAGTAGATTTAGAAAGCATCATTGACCACGAAGGCCTTGTACTGAGAATACTAATACAATTTACCCGTGAGACTTCAAACTTAGCCCCATATCGCAAGGTACAGTTGTTCCTATCCTGGCGGTGAAATTTAGCATTCCCGATTGTCATGACACGGCACTCTCGAATGTCTGGTGGCTCTCCACAGCCCTCGGAGGGAGAGGAAAGCGGCGAACACGATCACCACGAAGAAGGAGGTCTGCCACACTTTCGCCACCAGACAGCTCATCTTCTAGTCGTGCTATGTTTTTGTTGGGCCCATGTGGAGTGTGGTTGTGAGTGCGGTTGAATTTTTATTTATTTGTGACATCGAAATGACAACGGTGTCCCGTAACTTGGCAAACCCTACCTAAGTAGGTTTTATTAAGCAATTATAAAAAAAAAATGTTTGAATAGAACCTGAGAAAACCGCGTGCATAAAAATACTATATATGCAGTGATGAAAAATAGAATAAAGACCACATTAATTTATATTATAACATCTTGTCTTTCTCTCATGGACACGAAATTCTGGAATGTCTACGCAAAAACAGGTCGACTACATAAAAATTTCTAAAAAATAAATGTTTAGGATCAAATGGGGCATTAAATACGACAATCGCATTTATGGTCTTTTATTGAATGGATTACAACAATGTCTATGGCATAATTACTGGTAACATAAGTCGAAATTATTCTTAGCCTCTAATTCAGCGCCATCTTGTTTTAATTCTCACAAATTAAATTCAAAGTGTGATTTCTAATTAAATTAAAACACAGATTGATATACATGTGTATAATTCTCATAAATATTCTCAGTTTTGATGCAATTAACATAAATTAGACTCAATAATTTAATTAATAATTACTTATTTCAATGATTGAGGCAACGTAAATTAATGTTGCCATTACGAAGCTCTTAAATTAGTTTTTTTTTTTGCTTAAATATTTTTATTGTTTTATTTATTCGCTAAATTTCAAAACTGAGAAAACTTATGGTTATATACTAACGCGATACAAAAGTATTGAGTTACAAAAAGTGAAGACGGCCATAAAATCATTATATACTTTGAGACAAATACAATAATGCTGACTCTACATTTTATAAAATCGAAAGTGAATATTTAGACTTATTTTGCGGTCTGTACTTTCACAGTTAGGTAACACTTAGGTAAAATCGAGAGTGAGAAAAATAAATAAGTTTTCTAAATAAGCGAGAGCTTTACAAGTTGCAGATTACTCGTAAATATTAAAATTAATAGGATATAATATAATTTTTAGTTATAAAATACTCCAGGGACATGCATAACACTCTTATTTTGTGGCAAATATATCTTAAATTTATATAAGACAATTCCCGAGATTATCTGATGTTAATTTATAATAATTGTAAAAGTAATGCGAATTATCAATTGTCATGATAACTTTCCTTAACGACAACGCGTCCCATGTTAATCATTCCCTTTATGAAGGAAAATAATGGTCGTAACGACGCGTAGTCATGTCCCTAGAAGAATAACAATACAAACAAGCAATAATATATAAGTAGATACGTATAGAATAATATGTCAATAAAAGAGGTACAAATTATTATTTTTAATACATCCGTAGTTCGGAGTGAAGCAGTATACTCGGATTCGCAAGTAACAAGGCGGTGAAAACCTACGCTCTATGTACACAAATTGACAACGGTGTTGGGTTATTATTTGCTTACGAAATTCGTAATTTGTTAATTATTTTTACGTTTACTCTCGAATACATCAAAATAACACACCAATTTATTTTTCGCCCAGATCTCGCTTCAAGCATTAATTTAATTAAACATTAAATTCTCTATTCAGATGAAAGAAGCGAATCTACTATGGACGGTTGTGTTACGAGTTGTGGAAAAATATTTCTCAAGTTATTCTAGTGAGGTACGAGTTTGTGTCTCTACATTGTTAAGTGCGTATGCGATTACATTTCTACACCGATTGATATAATTTTACCGTTACCCATAATTACCCACCGAAGCCGTGATTGAGGTTTAAGGAGAAATTCTAGTAAAATGGCGACCTAATGCCTTGCCAAAAGATACAACAGTAAGTTAGAGACTTAGATTTATAGCTTCGATAAGTGTTATGGATAAAACTGTTCCAAGTTAAACCGTATTTTTATTTAGTTAAAAACTACAATTTATTATAACTCCTTGTCAATTTAACGTGCTTGTACCACTCACGCTTAGATCCTACTTTTTCACGTATAATTAAAAAAAGTAATCACAATATTATATTAAAACACTCGATTATACGATATGTATATTTTAAAGTTTTAATTAATTTATAGCAAGTAGAGAATGTGGGTCACCATACATGTTGTTTGTTGTAAAATTAACAAGAACCGTTATTGTCTTTTTCTGTTGCTCTGTTGTGTTCTGTCTGTGTTCTCGTTACAGACCAATTCGTTATATTATATCCACGACTAACAACTTTACCATAGACAATAATAAAACGTACCTAAAGTCGAGTGAAGTCCTTTTCGTCTCTACAAAGTGTCAAATGTCATTTTTGCCATCTTCGTGAAATGCCAAACTATCTTATCCAAAGATAAATGAGATTACGGGTAATTGCCAAAAGTCCTGGCGTGGAATGATGTTTCTAAATGCAGAAGCGATTTGAGCCGATTTAAGAAAATCAAAAGCCGGGTAACTAGATAAAAACTAAACTTTATACATTATGAAACAGAACGACGCTCCACCACTAAGATCAACCGGGGAACATTGCTCTGTTGTACTAATCTAAACGTAAAAAATTAAACTATAGATAATCTAAATTTAGCACCATCTAATTATCCATCGTCATACCTTTAAAATAAGACTATGGTCTGTCACTATTAAGAGTTATAAAAGGGTTATTTCGCTGTCCTAAACTAATTGCCTATAAATATGATTAGTAATTAGCTGTAGACTTATTTGAATAACGAATCCTATCTGTCCCCTAGCCGTGGGAAACTACGCCTCCTAAAAGTAATCGAGCAGGACGGAAATCCCTGGAAGGACGCGGACAGACAGGACTCTACGACACCGCGTACAACACAGACGGTGGCATTAATAAAGTCTCGTCATGGTCTGTCATTTTGTTCACTTCACTGAAGTTTTCACTAGCACATTATTCGATCGATTCAGTCTTATTTAATTCGTCATTGGAATTGCGTCGTGGACGTGGACCGCCTGCAGCCGATCGACACCGGAGCCGGAATCCTGGATGCCCCGCTCACTCTGTCCTTTCTGGGTGCAGCTAATTGCCGGGTGCTAGTGGACCGTTCCAATTTCCCGTCGGACATCACCCAGGCTGAGGTGAAATCGGCGTAATCGGAGTCCTTGGAACTGGCCCTCGATAACGAATCTTCTCCTTTCGAATAGGTCCTAATTATTTCTTTCATTTTCTCCAAAACTGTGGCGTCGTCTTTTGCGCTCTCCGCCGAACGGAGGATCTGCTCCAAAAGAGGGCTCAGTGGCTTCTGAGGAGGCGACCTTAAAGTGGCACTGCTGGCTCGGAGAGGAGAATTCCGTTTGAACGCCTCGTTCTGTACTTTAGGCTTTGTTTTGGGAGACTTCGGGTTCTCAAAAGTGTCCGCCCCGATGGTAGGTCTGGCTTTAGTCTTAGGTTGATTCGGAGCTGTTCTTCCTCCCCACGTATTTCTGGCTGTAGGTGGTAATTTAGGCATGAGTTTCGGTGAGGACTGCGCCATGTGTTTGGGGCTTGGAGTGTTGCCTCTGCTAGGAGTTCTGTTTCGCACCGGCGAATGGGGTATTCTACTGGCTTGTCGACTGCGTACGGTTTTCGTCGGCGATTCGCTTATTTCGCGAGTCGGTCGGAGGCTTTTACTCGGTGAATCGTTGTTTTCGTGGACAACTATGCATTCCGGACTAGCGCGGTTTGACTTATCTTCTGAATTGGCTTTCCTCCCTCCATAGAAGGTGTCAGAGAAGTCAGTTTTGCGAAGGCCAGTGTTAAGACTGACGTAGTCGTCGACGCGTTCAGTCTTATCGATATGGCAGCCATCGTCGTGGTCGAGACGCTCTGAAAAAAAGAGAAATTGTTTAAATGTCTTCTAGTATAACGAAATTGTTGAGATAACTCGCCCCTTTATTTAAGTCTTTATGTCGTCTCAAGCTTAAACAAACATATTTACGTATCAAAATTAACGAGCCCCCGATAACAAAGGCGGCAATATTATTGAGCATACTAACCGATCGATAAAAGTGAATGAACTAATAGGGCCTATTTGAAATGTTATCGAGTTTATGGGCCATTAAGCGCCCGTAAATGCCCGAAACTCAGCAGAACGGTCACGAATTCCGTTTTATATGGTGAATACCATTTTAGGCTTGATTACTACTTATTTAGAATAGCTACCTGCAATTTGCAAATATTTTGAAATTATTGCGGCGTCGCGTGTTCAAAGGCTTAGGAAAGATCGGAATACATGGCGCCAATACAGAAATCCTTAAAATGTACCAATCTATATCAAAAATATCATATGAATAAGTCGAATAGCTTAAATGCAAGTACGTGCATTCTTCAAATGGAGTAAACACAGACAAGACAAGATATTTGACAGATATTCTTAGAGTTTCTCGTCCGATCGAGTCAATTTCGAGAATGTTTAATAGCTATTGAACCAGATTTTTCGAAAATATAAAACAAGTCACTGTTCTTCCTAAAAATTCACAAGTACCAGTATAAGGTAGTGTACTTATGGTGGAAGTGTAACAATCTATTCGCATTTCACCTTGATAAATGAATCAAATCAAAAGGACATAATCATCATAAGTGATGTTATGATGTGAGTAATGTTCGAGTTTCCTGATTCGCCATAACCCAGAAATATTGTATTGCCATAAGAGTCTCGGCCGTCTTACGGACTACGCAGTGCCGTGTGCAAAACCAAGGACAATCCGCTTTATTATATTATACGCCGCTCTAGTGGCAAATTATGCTGACAGGTTGTGGGCCTATAACATTTGCAAAAAAGCTACGGCGAGTGTCAATGTTTTTAGAGTTCGGCAGTTGTTATCTACGCTAAGGCGTCTTTCATTTAGTCACTTATCTTATATACGTCATAGGAAAAGTAGAAGTAGGCATGTCCATTTTTTAAAACAGTAAAATTTTGATTATAAAACTTCGCGTATTGAAATTGTATTAGTGTTTATTTCTTTCTATTACGTTATAAGAAGCTATTTGTAATATGTATATAACAATTAGCCCCTGTTTGTGGTAAAACGCATTAGAACGATTAATGAGAGGGCTTGGTTTCAACCAAAAGACAATGAAAAACAACCGTTTCTAGCGACCGCTTCGTTGTTTTGCTGTTTTCTCTAATGCAGCAAAAGTGAGCAGTGACCTATGCATGATCAGCCAGTCACGACTATGCACTCGCCATTCCGGGAGGCTAATACAATGCAACGTGGAGCGCACTCCCAAACCACAATCGTACACCTATTCATGCGCCAGTCCTTCCTCACGACTTCACCATAATTCACCACCAAACCATGGCCAGGATGTGCACATTATAAACAAATTCATTTGTGTAATAAAAAGTTAAACTGTTTAAAACACGGTATATGATAGTTAAACTTGTTCGAAAATTATTTTAACTGCGGCCCGACGTACCTCCCTCCCCGTTACCATTCCTCTTTATTCTCCCCGTGATCGCGACTGCCGCAAAGCATCCGAAACTTCGACCCGTACTTAATATAATTTTCAAACAAGCTCAACTAAAACATATCGCTTTTTAAACCATGAAAGTGTTTTATTTAAATGAGTACTTCTCGCGTCAACTACGAACAGCGTACTTTTTATATTTCAGACACCTTCAGGCATCGTTAATCAATAACCAATTTAGTAATTTATGAATATAATTAATTATGCATAGATAGTGCCTATTCCGGTCTATTCAACCAATACAGCAGTACATTATGACAACAAGTGAAAGCAAGTAAGACCAATTGGAAACAATTAAGTACGTGCACGCAAATAAGTTGGGCATGTCTCATTGTTCGATTCTGTTGACCTCCGCTGAATGGGGAGCGTCATTCGGGAGCCACTTTGGAGCCTCGTTTGTATTCAGAGCTTGCGGGCGACGCGTGAAGATGGACGTCAGAGACACAAGTAAATGAACTGCTAAATCAATTATAATCAACTTGTTCAGAATCATGTCAAATGCATGATTTATGATTTTTTTTAATAGGTATATTTTAATTCTCTAGCTATCGCAGCTCTTCAGACAGCCCGCGAAGTTAGATTAATATAGACAGCGAAGTTACGAATTGGGTGGTACCTTTTTACCGTTAAGCACAACAAATCGAAAGATGGACCCGGTTGTGACGGTGGACAGAGATTACGTGCAAGAATTTGAAACTAAGACTAGAATAATTGGAAAGGATTCCCACGTGCGCGCAGGTGTGGAGTGAAATGCATATCTTTCTGCAAAATCATTGTTCTTTGAAACAGCATTGCGAACTTGTACTTATCTCCACGTACATTTTGTTATACGACTGCGATACTATCCCAGAGTGACTATGTTTCATTTTGAGGCCAACGGAAAATTTGGTTTCGACCTAAACCAACAAAAGTTTTGTATGTATAAACGATATAACTAAAAGCCTAAGATGTATGTATATTAAAGTATGTAAATATTTTGCGGAAATTTTTATAATAATTTTAATAATGATAATAAATAAAATGAAAAAACTTGTTCGTCCCTAGTAAAGAGTTCAACGGCGAGTATTTCGTATCCTAATTCAAACAATGGCCAATCAACTTTCCTCAATAATTGGTCGTAAAAGAGGATAATTTCTTAGAGCATTAAGCAAAAAGCATAAAGTATATGAGCGTAACGAGATAGTTGTCTTGGTGACACAAAGGTAGGATGTAATTCAGCCCGGAGCCAATTTAACGGAACGACGCGTGTCGTCTGCGCGGGCGCATTGCGCAAATACCTTCTCTAGGATTCGAGCGATAGGCGATAGCGGGCGGGGTTATTTATTTTGCGTTGCGTAATAAACTTAATATTGCGTCAAATTAAAACTTTATAATATTTAATCCCCATTAGTTGTTTAAATACTTACGAAATTAGCAAAAAGTATAACGATTTCTCGGTAAAGGTAATTAAATATATTGTATGAATTTCATGTGAGATTTACGTGACTTTTCTTATATAACATTGATAAAATATAACAGATCATTCTACAAAAAAAAAAATACGAGACATACGCTTATGACGTAAACCACACGCCATAAACAATAACATCGCATCGTCCACTCATTTAGGTGCAGTTTCGCTGTCGTTTCACGAAACACCTTTACGACGTCCACTGCGGCTAACTGTAATTTCTACTCATTATCCGCTAAGTAGATAGTCGTGAACTATGTTATGTTAACGCATAATATGGACATATTTTATGTTTTGTTAAGCTTAACGCGCCTAAATAACGCATAAAGACTGTAAGTTATTAACGAAACCGTCATTAACCGAGTGAATTTTCATTCGAAGTTATTTGAAACCGTTTTGAAATCTTGAGAAGGTTAAATGTGTACATTTTAAATAAATGTTTCTTAATTAGACCATTGTAAGTCGAAATAAATGGAAGGTAAAACAATAAAATGTTGAATTTCGTAACATTAAGAACATGTTTCTTCTGTATTTATTTTTCATTTGTCACCTTTGACAAAGAGGTTTGTTAAGAATGACAAGTTCATTAAATTTAAATTCTTTGTAGGGTTTCAAAAGCCCTATAATATTAATTAATATATTGATTTGAATAAAGTTAAGCCAATATTATTAAATTAAGTCTATAAATTATGAACTTACCACTGAAATCTGCGTCCTCCATGGAAGTCTGGCTGTGCAGGGAATATCTATTCGTAGTTTTCGTAGACGGAGAGCCTTGGGTCGAACCTGCGACCACGCCCAAGCTCCTGTAGCCCTCGTCGGACACTTCCGAACCATTGTCCGAAGCGCTCTCGACAGCTGGGGCTGGCGACACTGGCCTGGGACTTTTATTCCTAACCCCCAGAGGCGTAGGAACTAAATGATTTGAAGCGACAATTTTGGTCCTCCGATCCGGAGAAGACGAACATCTTCCTGGACTCTGGGTTCGTGGGGCTAAGTGTTTTCTACTGGGGCTGGCTGCTCTGTCTATGTCCCCAAAATATGGCAAGCTGGTAGGGGCATCCAATTTGTTATTGGATTGATATTGGAGACTTCTGGGTTCGTCGTTGTAGACTTTTTGGTATGGCATAGATACTGGTTCGTAGGGCTTGAAATCTGGTCTTTCATATGTGACTGTGGCTCCGGCTAGATCTTGTTTAGGTCTAGCTAGGCGGGCGGAGAGAGAGGTTCTGTGCTGAGCTTTGCAGCGGCAAGGGTCGTGTTTGTCCAGGTAATGAGCTAGAGTGTCCCAGCCACCGCCAACTCTTACCATAACGTGAGACCGAAGAATCTGAAAAGGAAGTGTGAGTGTTACAAACTATCGTTTAATAATAAAAGACACGAAACTATCTAATATAAATTGAAGGGAAGAAATAACGTTTTAAAATTATAGAAATACGTTTCCAATCTTCTTTGGATTGTGTGTTGTCGTATTTTTCCAGTACGATCTATCATCTCGCGACATTGACGAAAGCAATAAGGCCACAATTTGTTGAAAAACCATCTGTTGTTCGAGCGACGCCATACAAGGCCCCGGAAACACTTGACGGTAATTACTAGCACGTGGCTATAAATGATTTTAATCCATTAATGGATCTATAGATCTATTTTGTGCCAGATGAATCATTCGCTGGCCGACTCCATGTACGGTCATATCAAATGCACGGTTCGTGCTTGACCTTTGTTCACTCTTTCCCGACACTCGCCGTTTTTGGAACGGTTCGTAATGCTTTTATGATATCTCTCATAATATTATATTATAGTAACTTAGCAATGTCTGTTGACTTGAGAGATACTCGTACAAGGGAAGTTGTTTTATAGTGGGATGCGAGTCAAAACATTACTTAGATATATTAAACTACTTGGCATTTATGTACCTATATGGTGTATCTTTTTTTAAATCTAAATTCTGTTAGAAATTACAGTGAAAATATTTTTGGTTGGACTCTATTATGGCCAAATTATTTAAATGCATAAACACTCGGTTTCAATTACATCTAATTTTCCACTAATTAAAGCGATTCGCCAATAAATTATGTCGCCATTATGTATACTACACACAATAACTTCCTGCTCACCTCCACAGACAGACTGTAGCATAGGCTTTATTGATTTATTGCATTTCAATAACATTTGTCACATTTTAAATTGTTTATTTATTAAATTATTCTATATATAAAAAAAAAACAGAATAAATGCAAGATGCGCATGTTATGTACATAATTATTTTCTACTAGATTCCTATTTCTTTTTCAATATTATTCAAATTTAACTTATTGCGTTCTTATGTTGTACATCAATTTGTTTTTTAGTCAAACCTAAATTGTACATTGAGAGATACCATTGTGTTCACCACATCGGCGACTAAAATTAAGATGTACTGTGGCAAGGATGTCTATTCATAAAAGAGGGTTAGTGAGCTGCCTTGGAACAAAGTCAAACTGCGATAGACCTTGTTCGTACATGGATTGACAGATTCAGAACTGTGGCAATTGATCTTTTCGATCTTTATCGACTAAGCACGCCTTATTCGTGAAGGCTGCTCGATCGGTTCATCTGGCCATAAAGCCATCGTACTAAAATGCTGTCCTTCCTAATATAACATACTTCTTAAACGAACTCCGGTTACCTAATTAATATAAAAGAGATAGGCATGCATTATGTATTTATGCAACAAATATTACGAGTGCAATACTTGCAAGTCAAAAATAATTAATTCGGTAAATCCCTATAGAGTATAGATGGTTTATATCACTTTACAAGTTACGTTTAGATGCCTCGAAGCCTTAAATTAAATTATCATAATAAAACAAAAAATAATATTGCATAAACTCACCCTAACGAAAATCAGCAGTCTCGTATCACCAATCCTGTATTTTCCCTCTGAAACCCTCACCATAGGAAATTGTGTTGGACACGAGCAACGTTCAACCAAATCCCTGACCCTCTCATCTAAACTCCTCAAATCATTCGTCACCAACTGAGGTTGAGGCCCAGATGGTACCAGACCCAATGCAGAATCATCTGGGCGCAGTTCCTCGCCGGCTAACTCCCTTTCGATTTGTTTTTCCATTTGAACAAGCAACGGCGCCGGCATACCCAGAACCGCTCCTTTCCTCGCGACCTCCAATAAGCATAGAACCACATGTTTCTCGTTCTTCCGCAAGCACAAATCGTCAGTTTCAAAGAGCAGGCATTCGAGAATACCCAGCGCTTTTCTGCACCAATCTATGAAGTTCGACAGATTGTCCCTGGCGAAAAAGGTGCCCGCTTTGGCCGCTGGGAGCATGTTGACCGGTGGCCTCGCCCTAAGAGCTCTGGCCAGGGTTAGGGCTTCCTCTGTGTCCGTGTTCAAGCCATCGAGGATCTGTTTTGCCGACTCTCGGACAGCGTTCGCGTGCTGAAACAAAAATGTCATCATTAGTACATTTGCTATCAGGTGTGAGGTAACAAAACTAACTAATTCGGGTTGTTCTCAACTGATGAAATTAAAAATGGAGAAGACGATGTATACATTTAAATGTGGTAATGAAATTATAAATGATACAAACATTGAGGGAAAGGGGGAGAAATATTACGATTTGCTATTGTTGATACAACAAACCGTAATCAACTTACAAGCAATAAGTGAGTGATCTCATTTAAATAACAATGCACAACAAGCACAATTTACGCCGCCATCAATTGAAATTTGTACCTAGTGCAAATTCAGTCGCAGGCGCCGAGCAAATGAGACCAGACCAATTTGTTGCCATATCGGCCACAAGTAACGAGATAAAACTCAACGTTAACGAAGTTTTTTAGCACTTTCTATGACTACATGCCATATCACGTTGGAAACGGATTCCGAATTTGGCCGGTGCGCCATTTGTGCGGTTTCTATCTCACAATCACATACGACATACGACATACGGCTCATTAATACATTAATGAGGCAAGAAACTTGTATATCAGTCAATGATATTTGTACTATTTAGGACCGAGTTAAAAAGTTTCTTATTAAAGAAAAGTCTCCTAGACGGCTTTAATCTTTAGACAGAAGACAACACAAAAATATTTTTCATACGCCACGCTGGAACAAAGATAAAATTGTTCGTCAAGTTCAATCTTATATTAACTTAACATACAGTATAATGTTTGTATTAGTTCTTGTGCGTGTTAGCTTTTTAGTAACTAAACTGAAAATTATCTTTTCCATAATCTTTAGCAATTGTCAGGTTCACTGCTCGTCAAATTACCATTGAAATGAGTGTAAATTATCACCGTTTGTGAAACGATTTGCAAGCGAAAAGGTGAAGGAATTTCGTATTTGTGTGTGAATAGAAACACATATTACACATTTGCATAATATTAGCTTGCAATATGGTATTTCTGTGCTTATTTTCAACAAAGGCAATAAATACTGGTCAATAAAGCCTTTCTCGTTTCAATATTTAGGTCTATACGAACTATAAAATTAAAGAAGGCGAAAATCTACGGAAAATTCTCATTTATTTATTTTTATTATATTGTGTCAGTCTGTATATTTGTATATATTAGCTGCAAGGAACTTTCGCAAGAGAGTAAAATTAAATAAAGACGCGTAATAATATTTGACACGGTTTACATTTCTTCTTTTATCGAAATTATTGGTACCTTATTTTAAGATGAACATCGAAAGCACATTTTAAGATATTTACGATGCCTTCTTAGGAACAATGTTGCAAAACAATAATTATGTTTATATTTTTGTATAATTATTACAAATGACTATGTCCATTTTCAACCTTCAAAGCGTACGGCGTGTTATTTTGTACAACCGATTCATTCCACTTGTAACCGACAACTACTTATAATATCTACTGTGTATTTGTTATTTACGGTTTTTTATGTACCGATTTACTTGTAAGAGAAGGAAAATGGTTTCAACTTATAGTAATTAATAGAAACCGATACGATGACATCACGATGACCATAGGGCAGCCTTAAGACTTAAACTAACATGACCCAACGAGTAACGACGCCGAGTACCAAGTGGAAGTTCCTACTTATCTTTCCATCTCTTATTTACAAAGGGAGAGCATTCATTACTATAATTGATATGTTGTTAATATTAACGTACGGGTTATAATTTCACGTAATTACGCGTATGACATCTGTATTTATGCGTTTTCATTTCATATTTCATTGATTGCTTTGTGCGTGCAAGGCGTGCAAGGCGAGTGAGGCCTTCAACTTTTTGTTTTTCTGCCTTGAAAACTATGGTGATGAACTTTTCCCCCTTCGTGTCCCAGCTAAGTCCAGCCTTTAGCCTTTATTCTGATTAATAAGCTATGTACAAATAACGTTAGTTAGCATTTTAGTAAAGCTACACATATTTTAGAGAAATGACTTGGTGCGAATTAGTTTTAGGACATCGTTGTCGGCATATGATATTTTCTAAACTATAGTAAACAGATCACTGCGTATTTGGTAGGTATTCATTTAATAAGTAAGGGCGAAAACTTTACTCAGCGTAAAGTTACAAAAATTAGGTGTTCACAACGAAAGAAGGTAGGAATATAAATAGTCTAATGTTAGGTATAAGTTGCAGTTACTTCTGTTTTTCATAAGTAGCTCAAAGGAGCCGTTGTAGAATGTATATAAAGAAATAACTTGAACGTCCAAGTTTCAGGGTTTTACTAATTTGTACGACAGCCAGGAATCCGGTTGTTCACCGACCGCTGTCATTAATGACACTTAATTGCAAGGTGACAAGGTAAAAGTCATTACAGCCATAAAAGTAACACATAATTCCTAATTAGCAACAATTATTTAATTTTAATGAAACAAAAATCACTGTTTAAAATTTAGTCTATTTTTCAGCGAGGACTCATTTCATTCGCTTGTTAAGTTAATGATACATTTTATAAGCGATAATACAACACGATCTATATTAAAGAAGCGACACTTAAGAATGGTTTCAGAGTGCTACCCCTAAAGCATTCCAATACTATGCAATATGTACTCTCTAAGCAAAATATTATTTTCTTTACGTTAGTTAGGTACAGATAATATCGGCTATTACAGATTACTTTACAAGTCGTTTCGCACTTGAAACTGTAATTACTGCGACTCGCTTAGCATAATCGCAGTAATTAATGTTTTAAATCGATCGGGTTCACAACTTCGAAATTTGTATATGCGTTACCACTGCACGATATTATATTTTATTTGATTAGAATAGACTGAATATCCTGAATCTAATTAAGAACAAAAGTTACTAAAATCGATCTACCTCAACGTGGCGAATCAGTACGAATATGTTTTATCATTATATGATTGTAGAAAGTTTACAGACTATAAAGTAGGTAGTTTTTGGAATAATAAAGCATCTAAATGATTAAAAACTGAACACACAAACGAAGAGACACGTTGATCACCAAATATCAGCAGGAAAGTCCAACCGTAAAATAAATAATATCGCGTGGTATATAATAAGTTCATTTACGTTCAACGAAAATGTAATTTTATTAATAATAGTGCTTACACGGTTACGCCATGCGCCGGCGCCGAGTGTATCGATACGCAATTATTCTAATATGATTGTTCGATCAATGCTCGTTACTTCAGTAAATTATGCGCACATTGCTGCACTAATCATATCTATTAAGTGTTCAACATTTTATCTTTTAACAACAGTCGACACGGCCTAATGACTATGTTTATTCCCGTCTGTTTCTATAGTCGCATTTGTTTGGATTTCGATTATTATTAGACCTGTTCTGTATATGGTTTCAATGGAAGTTTTAGGCGCATTAATGTAACTACGACTAGTTGAGGCACGCGGCTTTGCATAGCTTTAAAATTCGTTTTTCGAAAACCTAAATTAAAATAAATAAAAAAATAGCTCTGTCATGTAGCAAGATTTACAAGTAAAAATATATGGAATTCGCGACAAAAAAGTCGGCATTAAAGAAACATCTCATTTAGATATCTCACGTATATTTCCTACTGCATTTGGATTTCGTACGCATACGAGTTTTTAAGTTGCGCTTATAAATATTAATCTCGGAGTTGGATTATAATTGCAAATGCTTACAAAAACGCAACTGGCGTCAGTAATGAGTAAACATTGCAATATTAATGTTTGACTCGTTATTTTATATATCTTTTGTTTAAAGGCTCTTGCAAAACTATCGGATTAAAGATTGTTTTGTTCGGCCACCTTGGTTTATAAGGACGTCGTAAATTTCACTTTTCCAGTGTCATAAAAATAAACTTGCGTTTTTACACTTGGCCAATTTAGAAGGGTGCGTTGGTTGCGTTCATATTTACTCAATTTTACGACATTATTTTAATCACTTTTTATTTATGGAAAATAGTCAAATGGCGTAAACATTCATTCAGAGCTAAAACCTAATTTCGCTCCAGTCCAGCCATTTTTGTTATTTCCTTATTGGTATTAAAGAAAGAATAAGTGACAAATGTCAGACTTTCAAGGTGTGTACTGATAGTCAAATGCGAGCCTCGCAATGAGGAAGGGGCTTATCGCTGACGCCACTTGGCGACTTATCAAGACCTTGCAAGAATTTCTTTAATTATGGGTCCCGGTGACATCCTTAAAGTCAAAATAACAATTTCCTTGTATTTAAGTAGTTAATTAAAAAATGAAGAACTATACACCTTTTATTAAGTCTATAACGAGATAAATAATATTATAACTTATTTTATTTTTCTGTCGCCTCACTTATTAACAGTACGTAGGTCTGGCGATGGTCACAGACTAAAATAGTGAGCTAAACTAAATCATGGAAATGTCATATCAATTCCCACGAGATAAACCATTCCACCATTTATCAGATCGGATCGTGATTCATGATCAATTTAGTTAAACGTTTGCATTGGGTTATTTACATTGGATCGGACATGAGACAAATGATCCGAGATATCCTTACGCGACTCTACTCGTTAGCTATTTCTAACTTTACGAATAAATATAGTGAATAAATGGTTATGACAATCTGTATACCTAATACTAATAAATCTTTATAAGATTAACTTGCAAGAGCGTTCTTGTGGTAATCAAATTTGGTCGAAAGTAATTCATTATTACCAATAATTTGTTAGAGTTGTATCAACTTAAGAATATTGATTTTGCAAAGATGAGATGGCAGTTCAGCTAGTTATAAATATGATCTATTGCCCTTTTGGAGTCGTCGGAAACAACGGTTTGTTATTTTATTTATTCATCCTTTTTTTTAGTTATCCAGTAGTTCACTAAGTCAGTATCTCATCTATAACTGAGTGAAGTTAGACACGATTACCTTTGGTTTTACCATAAATTTACCACAATTTAAACTTGTCACGTTAACCGAAATGTTGTCTCTTTACTTTGATTGCCCTTCGTTCTTATTTCCATTGCACATTTTGATTTTGTCC